TTGAACTTTCATAATCAAGAGGTTATTTCTCACTCAAAGACAAATGGAAGACGCAACAAAGCCGAAATACGCAAATCCTTTCCATGTTTTCATACTTCGGCCCAATGTTTCATGATGCTGCACCTTGTATGGAAAAATCCCAATAACCAAGGTGCCTTTTATGCCCAATAATTGAGGGGAATAGAGCCTAACACAATCCTATTCAAGATTTCAAATCCAAGCACCATCTAAGGCAGTTTGATATCCTAATACTAATTGGATGATCGACTAGTTTAGGTCGTTAAAGTTTGGTGTTATTCAAAATCTAATATCGAATCCTATTGTCTACATAATTTATTCTTATGGCTCTTTTCACGCACACAAATCCCCCCGTATTCACTTAAGTTGCACAAGGCATTGATTTTTTTTTTTTACCATCCTCATATTAAGTACGAAATATTAACTTATGAATACTGCAATCACATATGTAGTAATGAAGTATAACACATACTTTCTCCATATTATATAACATTGCAATATTTCTTTTGGTTTTCGCTACTTCAATGTATAAATTCATATTGAAATTGTTAAAATTGTTGATTGAAAAATGATATTTTGAAATATACATTGAGCCTGTTGGAAAAAAAAAAAAAACAAAAAACACATCGAGAGTAATTTAGTAACATTTCACGTGATAGCTAGTGTTAGTTATTTGTATATAGATTGATAATAAAATATAATTTAAGTAGCATATATGCATAATGAAGTTAAAAACGCTATGGCATCCATCCCATCACCAGGCAACGATTATCATTATCCCATTGAAAAATTTAAATAAATGGGTGATCATTAAATCTTTATTACGGAGTACCCATTAAGGTGTGGTGTATAATAAATATAATTTAACATCTCATGTTCCTACCAAAGAAATAATAATTAGCTTAGTTGAAAGAAAAAAGTGGGTTGACAAACATAAATCCATCTTCTTAAATCTTAATTATTACATCTTTCATTAGAAAAAAAAGATAGAATTTGGAGTAATTCACTATTAAGATTTAAGATGGTCCAAAGAATTAATTCTTTAACAATATTGTACAAAAAGTACAAAATGGTGGTCCATTAGCCATCTCATATAATCGAGAATGTCAATTTTTGCTTTGTTGTTGTGTTGGAAGACTAATAACCTATTCTCAAATCAACAACTTCTTTGTAATTGTTGTCAATTGAAAAGCACATCTAAATTAAGGATGAGTTTAAACATTGGGTATATACAAGTATTTTGCTGATATTAATATCAAGGCATGAGTAATCGAAAACGACTTACGAGTTATGATGTAATATACGCTTAATTTTTCATGTTAATAAAATGTAACGACACCATGAACAAATGCAAGTAGTATCATAAACGCATTCCCCACTTGGTACCTTTAATTTTAATGAATCTTAATTATCGAATTACTGACTCCTAATCATATCTAACGAATGACATGCTTCGCTTCAAGGCAACAATCATTCACTAACATTTGTCAATTACTCCGTAATGTTTAAATTTAGCATTTGAAATAATTCTGTATGAATACTCTCTTGAAAAGGGTACTTCAAATCTTTTTAACTCAATCAATCTCAAGTTACACTCATTTGACATAAGAGCATATCTCTTTAAAAATTACTTGTCATGCTTTACTTTCTCTTTTTACCATCATTGATTATTGTCACTTTTGCCTTTTGTTCTACTCAAATTAACTTCTTGTCTAACTATTAGTCTGTTAAAGGGGATTATTCCAGCTAAATCTTCTCCAAAAAGGCAATCATATATTCATATTGTATGTGTCGTAGGGGAAGGAAAAATATCGGATGTTTTTAAATAGGGTAATGATATATGTAGTCCTTACGCTATATATAGGCATTAAATATACTTTTTAAAATAGAATTAAGTTGGGAATTCATGATAAAATCACGTGTAAATCGGTGTAATTAATATTACTTTATCCTCGATATTTCTTTTTTTTATCTTCTTATACATAACCCTTAGAGTTATGTTTATCAGATCATTTTCCTTTTAAATAAAATTAAACCCTTATCCTTATAACTTTATAAGTTTAGTAAGTCATGTTTTAAAGAAATGACAATAAATAAAACTATTTCTACATGAAAATTATTGACCAAATTAAGAATTATTTATAGTGGTTAAAATTGTCCTAATGATTAAAAGACACTATTTACAAGAATAAGAAAAACAACAAGATCAAGATAACGAATAATCAAGATATATAGGTTAATAGTGAATTTTTTATTTAATTAAGGCAATAAAAAATCCATGAATGGAGAATATGTTCTTGCTCTTTATTTTGAGTGTAAGAATGTAACATACGCAAAGCAAATAATAATGTACAAGTATACCCTAGCTAGATTAGCTTAGCTATAGCTACAAAAACTAGAGAATCCAATGATGATCACGGAAGATTATTAACAGGTTAAAACCATATTAGCTGTCCACTTTCATTTGCTAATACATGATTTAATTATGCACAACAATATTATTAAAGGTAACCTCATTCATTAAATTAATAAATAATCTTTAATTATAAATTATTTGACTTAATTGCTTTGGATCACCCACTTTTAAGGAGGGGCTTGTATATTGATCTGGGTACCACTATTTTCATGGTTGTGTATAAATTGTGACACGTATTCATATGTTGTGATACCTTCGAATACAACATTTTTATTGTACCGACCAACGCTTTAATTTGTTCTTCACCCTCGTATATATTCTATACTCATGACTCATATGGCTAAAAAGCTATGTTTGCTATTAACTTTTTGAAGAAGAAATAAACTGTTAACCCCACCCAAGTTTTAGTTTATTGATGGAAATAAATGATAATAGTATTTCCTTTTATTTACAACGATTTTGCTAACGAGCGCCCCGGGGCGTTAGATAAGGATAAATTATATTGGTTGAAATGGTATTAAATTAGGAATTCATGACAAAATCACTCGTCGTTCGGTGTAATTAATGTTAATTTTACTCTAATATTTGCATTTTAATTATCTTATCCAACGCCCCGGGGGCGCTCATTAGCTTTTGCCTATTTACAATGTCATGTATATGTTGTTATTGTTACTAAGCTACTTACTAGTGTAAGTAGTGTCGATATTTTTTGTGTTAGCCAAATATTGTACGATTCTTTATTTTGAAGCCGAACTTAAAACTTTTGTTTTTTATAATATATTTTTATCTTTCTAGATTTATTAGCGTAATTTTAAAATGTATCGCTTTTGATGAAATTTTAATCTGTTTTCATGAACACATTCGACTAAGAAATTACAAAGTGAAGAATAACAATCAATTAATAATAATAATGATGATGATATGACAAACAAATAAGATGATTAGATTTGAAAAGTAAGAAGTGAACAAGTGAGTATGAAAACATAGTTCATCGAGGATGAAGACACCATACGAATAAATGGCAACAACCTTGACCTGCGGCAAAGGTAATCTCATCACATCTCTCATCTTTTAAATACGTGTTGTACTTTTTTAAGAAATTCCAAAGACTCTTGTTGAAATCACCCATCTATGGAGTATCATGTTGTTTTCTTTCTTTCTTTATTTTTTATAGTAAAATAAACTCATTTAATTTATACCTCGTATAAACAGTTTAGTAAAATACGTTGATACGTATACGAAAGGTTCTAACCCTATACATTCCGTAATTTGCATATGTATGTTTTTTTTTTGCGAGTAGGATGAGTTGTCTTATCGATTGTAACATCCCACATGTCAACCCAATCGAGTTATTGACTAAGCACTTTAAGAGTAAGGAGAAAAGATAAAGAAAATGTTGATAACTATCCTAAAACTGTCCCTAATAGAGATTGAACTCTTAACTCTCAACTTTGAGCTGGAACACTCATGCTAAACTTTGCTTGGTACATGTACGAGAATTTTCTTAATTACTTAACACCGAGTACTTTTTTTTGAGATAATTTGGGAGCAAAATTTACTTTGTCTCTTCCTAGCTTCAAAAAAATAAATAAATAAAAAATAAAAAATGTCTCTTACTACCGTCCTTGTTATACACGGCAAGTCAACTAATTTGACAAATATAGTATTTCCATTCCTACCAAAAAGGTTTTCTGATGAATTTCTTAGTACCTTGATCCTCAATAATGAAAGTCTCGCCAATGATCATGAATGATGGTCAGCTTAATTGTATACTTAATATGTTTAAATCTCTTATTTACAAGCTAATTTTCTCCGAGTCAATCAACAATGTAATTTTCATAGAGGTATAAGGAAAAAGTAACTATGCTTTAGTGATTTTACTTTTCTTTTTGACAAATTAGTGATTTTACTTGACAAGGGTATTTTGTGTGGATCATAAGTAATTGTATAGAGCTTTTGACTGTAATCCCAAAGAAATTTACATATAATTGGTTACAAAACCCACAACACCAAAAAATTAGAGTGGAAATACAATACAAGTAGCAAAAATTTACTTAGCCATATAAAGTCAAAAACCATACTAAGGGCCTGTTCGGCTGTTCTCATTAGATTATTTTCAATTTAATTCAGTTAATGAGAACATGCCCTAAATCACTTTTCTAATAAGATTGTAGTGATTTGATAACTAAAGGTCTATTCTCTTCAACTTAATTTCAGTTCAGCTCCAATCAATTTAGCTCAGTTCGATTTTTAATTTCCTTCTCTCATAAACAATTCATTTCAGTTTAGAATAGACCCTAACACTAGTTATTGATAAGTAGTTGTATTTCAAAACTTGTATATAACCATATAATGTAGTCGTATGTTGTAATTTTATACGCGCTTGCATACTCATAGAGTGAAGTCATATGACTCGACGTATTACACCGAGGACCAAAGATTGATGCACCAACCAGGGCAACCACTACACAATTACACTTCAAGCACTCAAGTAGTCAAGTACAACAACATTAACTAGCTTTATAATATCAACTCTTTACACTTGTAATTAAATCAAATACACCAATTATACAACAAAATATAAAAGCCCTTACAACAAAATTAAATTAAACACCCACTAGACTTATAAAACAAGAATCTTACAACCAATTCCTATTTTCCCACTTTCCATTCACATTTTTCCTTCACTTTTCTCTTTCTCTCTCCTCCCTCTCCCGTGCCTTTGTGAATATGCACACGGTTGGGCTGAATTGGAAAGACAAACTCCATAATTTTACTTTCTCTCTCCTCTTTTTCTCTCACTGATTGAGCTTGCTCAAAGCTGCCAGCCTACTCAAATGCTTTTCCTCTGACAATCACCTCAAAAAAACCCAATTTTTTTAATAAAGGAAGAAATTTTAGAAACACCCATTAATTAATTTCTTCATGGGGTGCTGTCAATCCTCTGAAATTAAACACCCTTTTAACAGAAATTCTAACCCACCTTTTCACCACCAGCAAACGCCGTCTACGGCTGACGTCGGTGGAGTTGACGGCGGCGCCGGCGGTGGAAGTGGGGTTGTTGTTGGTGGAGGAGGTGGTGGTGGAGTTCCTGCCTTTGCTGAGTTCTCTTTTGCTGACTTAAAAACAGCAACAAATAATTTTAGTACAGAAAATATAGTGTCAGAAAGTGGTGAAAAAGCGCCTAATCTTGTTTATAAAGGCCGTCTCAAGAATCAACACTGGATTGCTGTTAAGAAGTTTACCAAATTAGCTTGGCCTGATCCTAAACAATTTGCGGTCCGTTTTTGATTTGATAATTTATATGGGTTTTGCATAAAGTTTATATCTTTTTTGGGGTACATTGTTATATTGGGTTTATTTGGGCATAATCTTATCTGGGTTTGTTTTTATTCATGAATTTGTTGATTAAATTGTTGATACATTGTTTATTTGGGCAAAATGATTTCAGGTGTTTGGTAATTTTGCTGTTAAAATTGATGATACATTGTTTCTTTTATGTTTCTGGCAAAATGAAGTTGGGTTTTTGTAAGTTATGTTGTTTTTAAGGGTTCAATGCATTTGCTTTTGTTTCCTTTTTGCTGGCTTTTATGCTTTTTTTTTTTAGCATAAAATTGTGATACATTTTTGGGAAAAAGTTTTATCTGGGCATTTTTTAAGGCTTTTAGGTATTTTTGTCTTTTTTTTGGTGGCCTAGTCTAGTGTTTGATACATTGTTTATTTTGTGATTGTTATAATTGTAGGAGGAGGCTTGGGGAGTTGGTAAATTAAGACACCAAAGGCTTGCAAATTTGATTGGATATTGCTGTGATGGTGATGAGAGGTTGCTGGTTGCTGAGTTCATGCCTAATGATACTCTTGCCAAGCATTTATTCCACTGTAATTTGTTCTCCCATTCCTGCTTGTTGCTTCTAACTTATCCTTCCAACCGATTTCCGGCCCCGGATGTCGGTGTAGGGTTCTTGCTCTCTACTTTGATGTGAAGATACATAACTATCTGATCATGTTATTTAGATTTTGCAAATCTTTTTATGTGGGATAAGTCTTATGCAGAAGAGAATATTGGTCTTTGAATGACTTAAATGTTGTGACGGATTTTTATGGGCAAACATGTTTTTTTGCCCATGTTTGTTTCTATTGTGGTAAGGCAGATGCCCCTTGGTGGTCCAAAGCAATGTTGTAAGGAATGGGATTTATGCTCTATCTTGACTCCATGTGATAGGTGTTGATTCATTAAATGATGCTGTGGTTTGTTTCTTCTTTGTTTTTAGCTCACTCATAGTATTTATTGGTTGATCTCTACTTTATGGAGGGTGTACTAACTACATTATATCTTGGTTGCTGTGCTTCCATACTGCATTTATTGTATATCGGGTTTCTGGTTGTCCGGAGTGTAGAAGGTTTGAGCCATATATTTTGAGCAAGTGCTCATTGGAACTTGTTGACTTTGGTCTGTGGTCTATATAGCTTTTTGAGAGTCATTTGCCAGCTTATCAAGTAAAAGTTGAGTTGTTAGCAGATTGGTCTGCTGATGAAGTTCACATTGCTCAATCATGTTTTCTGAAATTGTGAGACTAATTTTTATCATTTTATGGATAATTGGACATTGATTGTACTATCTGCTGCAAGGTAAAGCACGGATAAGGGCCATAATTATTAATGATCAATCTCCTCTTGACTTGAATTAGAGGAATTAGTAAAATTGGTATGTCATATTCTGATGTGACAACTGACAAATGTGATTGCTGGTGAGTGGTGACTGCCTGACTGGGGTATTCTAACATGAGTGTTTACAAAGATTAGAGTTATACATTGCCTTGCTAGTGAGGAAATTGTGCCGAACTTGGTTATGCTTTTTTTTTTTTCAATCTTTCAAGCTCGTGTAAACAACATATTATCAGTAATAATTTCTCGAGTATCAAATATTAAGTGTGACTAAAAAGGTCATTTTTTTTACTGTCATTTAGGTACAGGTTCTTGTTCTTGCTTAGTTATTAATTTGTTGCATTTATAATTCATAATTGGTGATCAACTTTGTTAACATTCCTGTTAGAATTATCTTATGCCTATTTTTGTTTTGCAGGGGAAAACCAGACAATTGAGTGGGCAATGCGACTGAGAGTAGCTCTCAATGTTGCTGAAGCCTTAGATTACTGCAGTTCTGAAGGTCGTCCATTGTACCATGATCTGAATGCTTATAGGGTTCTCTTTGATGAGGTAGGATCATTGAAATCCAAAAAACTTTGATTCCTTTAGTTCTCTATGCATTCACTTAATTTTTTGTGATTTTTTGGTGGCTGTTGTAGAATGGTGATCCTAGACTTTCATGTTTTGGATTGATGAAAAACAGTAGGGACGGAAAAAGTTACAGCACCAATCTTGCCTACACTCCTCCAGAATATCTTAGAAATGGTAATCACTTCTCAGTTCTGGTTAGCCTATTTATTCTGTAAAAAAATTTCTCATCCATCCCAAAGTAGTTTGAGTAGTTCCGACTACTTTCTTGTATATTTAATAGTGTCTTATAGTTATAGTAAATGTTATACTTCGTGTATCTTATGCTCATATTGTTAAGTTGTTCATTTCATTTAGAAAAGAAACTGATATGTAGTATTAGAATTTAACAGGCGTTATGAACTTTTTTACATCTGTATTTGTTGTGTGGCTGCTTTGGATGTTTCTCTCTCTGGTAACCAAAGTTTATAAATGCATCTATAGTTATGACTATTTGACATGAGTAGAAGTGCAGAAGTGGTGTAAAGCTTGGAATTGTTAATCAGCTTGGAAAGGGTTAAGGGTCAATAAGGTCAAAGCATGGGGATATGAGAATATTTTCCAAGTTCTGCTAGGCTATAGAATGATTTAGACATGTTAGCTGAGGACAGATTTTAGGCATTTTGTATTTCATATCGACAGATGTCCTATCTGGGATATGCTATTCTAGAAAAGATAGTCTCGAGACTTCACCCCGTTTAAGCTGGCTAGATCAAGTCATGACTGGGAGCTGCCATGAACCCATAGGCAATTTGTGGCTTTGTGCAATGCTTCTGTATGGCTTTATTTTTAATATGGAAAATATCATGAATTAAGGATGTTCATTACAACACAAGAAAATATTATGGCAAAATTATACTCCATAGGAGTAACACACAATATCTTGGGGAAAATTAAAGGACTCTTAATCTATCTATTGGGACATCATTACTCATGGTTAACCACACACTAGTGAAATACTGGCATGCCTAAGTAGCAAGAACTTTGTGCACGAGATCCGTGCAGTACTGTGCTTGCATTGTACAGTACGTAGTTCTATTACAAAATGATTAGTCTTCAAACCTCATCAAGCTGTATTGAGCAAAACTGCCAATCTCACACCCCCTCTCCTCATATCCTCAAAAAACAAAGTGGTAAGTTTTGGGCTGATATTCTAGCATGCAATACCTCTGACATCCTCTCTTTGTATTTCAGGAAAAGTTACTCCTGAAAGTGTTATTTACAGCTTTGGTACTATTCTTTTGGACTTGTTGAGTGGAAAGCACATACCTCCAAGTCATGTAAGTAAAACTTTGTCTCTTGATTTTACATGACTGCTATATGATTGATCAAGTTTTGTTCATGTTTTTATCCCATTGGTAATGACATAAACATAATTAGTTTATCAATTGTGTAATACCAAAGCTTGCTGTTGCATCCAGCTTTTGCAAGCGTGCATTTCTCCCTCAGAAAAGAATCACCTTGTGTGCGTTCTTTTGTGTTTATTTATTTATTTATTTATTTATTTTTTCCACTTTTATGTAACATATAATTTATAAACATGTCGTAACATGAAGAGTTTTGTAATCATGGCCAACCTCCAATAATATACAAATGGATTCAGTAATGATGAAGTATGAGTTCTTATTCTGGAATTGCAGCTTATTTTAGAGATATTGCCTGCATTAATTTATATTGATAAGATAGTTGATTATAGATGTGGGGAGTTGTGGACTTCTATATTAGTGTATAAAAGCTGGGTTTTCTTCTGGATATGAAGTGATCTGGCTTAATAGCACTATTGTGTTTTCTGGCTGTATATACGTTTTTTTTTTTATATATTTTTCCATACTCATTTTTGGTTGAAGTGGTTATTCTTACTTCATGTGCCTTTTTCATTTAGGCCCTTGACATGATACGTGGCAAAAATATAATCCTATTGATGGATTCCCATTTGGAGGGAAAATTTTCCACTGAAGAAGCCACTGTAGTTGTTGATTTGGCATCTAAATGTTTGCAATATGAACCTCGGGAGAGACCAAACACCAAGGATCTTGTTTCAACACTTGCCCCATTGAATACAAATCCAGAAGTAAGGACCTACTACTCTCTTTTACTGGAGTTTGTCCTGTATATTTCTTTTGCAACATTATCATCATTTGTAAGAAAATTGGGGCTACTTGATTTCTCTCTTTCTCTGCCATATTAGAATGTACATTTTTCATATAATTCATCATGGGCTTCTGCCATTATTAAATGTAATACTTGACATTCAGGTTGCATCACATGTCATGCTTGGGATATCACAGCAAGAAGAAGCACCCTCTACCCCACAGCGACCTCTTTCGGCGATGGGTGAAGCATGCTCTCGGAAGGATCTCACAGCAATCCATCAAATATTGTTTATGACACACTACAGAGATGATGAGGGAACGAATGAGGTACTTGAACTATATATACTTATATTTAAATTGTGTGTTTTTTCCTTTACCTAATTTTCTTTTGGTTCAGCTGTCTTTTCAAGAATGGACACAGCAAATGAGAGATATGCTGGAAGCGAGAAAGCGTGGAGATCATGCTTTTAAGGAAAAAGACTTCAAAACAGCCATTGACTGTTACTCTCAGGTAATGTCATGCTCTTTAAACCATGAAGTTTTCTGTATTATTGACCTACACGTAGGACGAACTAAGCAACTAACTTTCCTGAAACGTATTTCATCTTAAAGCGTAAATTATCTCTTAGACATACTGCCCTAAATTTAAGACTTTCAAGAAAACTTAATTTAGTTGCGACTATCCATTGAAAAAAAAAAATCCTCAGAAGGAGAGAGATAAAGGATATATATAAAGGGAAAATGAAACTTGAAACTATGACTGTTTCCTGCTGGACTGAAAGTCAGTAACTGACCTTCATATTAAATTGGTTCTTTCATTGGCAAAAGCTTGTAAATTTTGGGGTTTTGATGAATCTATCCCTTCTTTTTTTCCCCTTCTGTTCGGGTTCTCCTTTGGGACAGTTTATCGATGTGGGGACTATGGTTTCACCAACTGTATATGCGAGGAGAAGCTTGTGCTACCTCATGAATGACCAAGCAGATGCAGCCCTTAGAGATGCAATGCAAGCACAGTGTGTGCACCCTGATTGGCCAACAGCCTTTTATATGCAGTCAGTTGCCCTTGCTAAACTAGACATGCAGAAGGATGCTCTTGATATGCTAAGCGAAGCATCTGGCCTTGAAGAAAAGAGGCAGAAAGGTGGAAGAAGTTAATCATCCGAAAAAGGGTAGATTGACTCTTCTCTGAACCCGAGTGTCTGTAAAATCTGAGATGGAAACAGAAGATTCTTATTGATGCAAAAATTGCATCATGTTATACTTTCGATTGTATGATTGTGTGGTCATTGTAAGTTATTGGGGGCTGTAAGAGATTGAGAAAAAGAGGGGGAGAAGTAAAAATGAGAATGCAATTTGCAAACAAAGTTGCAAATTATTCTTTCATCGTTCATTTTGATCAATTTGACGTGCCAAATGTGACAACTATTATTAGCAATGCTTGAATAGAGGAATGAAATTAGCATTTCTTCTTTACATATATTGTACAGGCAACTTGTTTGAACATAAAGAGAAATATTGTCAATTTATAAACTGGATGAACCTTGTCGCCTTATCGGTGTGCGAAATTTGCTTTCCATGTCTATTACTGTATCAACCTTCTGCTTCTAATCAACTTCCTGTTTAGGGCCTTAAGTTACCACCATTGTTGAGTTTCCTGTCTATGGTTTTACCAAGTCAAGAATTAGAGGTGGCCATTGGATTGGGCTGGGCTGGGTTGGGTTGGGAGGATTGAAGATGGCCCATGAAGCAATTGATATGGGCTAAACTGGGTGGGCCGGACCCCTTGAGTAATGGACATAAAATGCATGTAAAATACACAAAAGTATATTGGCCTATTCAAAGTGTTCAATGTTATGAATAAAATAGTAATATATATGGCCTAAATTACCATAATACTATATTATGAAAGGGGATATGAGGAGAAAGTGAGAAACCATATAACTGCTGATATTTTTTACTTGTAAAATCCATTTGAAGAACATATAAAAAAAAAAAAGAAAAAAAAAAAAGAAAAACTACCAAACATTAATTTTGCTATGCTAATAACACATATAGCTTTGAAACAAAGTACTCTATAATAAATTATAGAGTGTCATTAAAAGGTACTTTGTAGTAGTTTACTACAAGTACAATAATATAGTTTGGTCATGTTGTATTTGTGTCGTTTTTAAGCTGTTCTCATAATATGACAGAGAAAAGAACAAATCATAAAATGAGGAATTAAAACACATCTTATACTCATGTGGTGTCGAGTTTAAGTTTCTCTCAATAACTTTATCTAATTTTAGAGTGGCGCCTCTAAACCTCAATCTCTTTCCTACATGAGAACATGTTATTTATCCATAACCTCAATCTAACGACCCGAACCTTATTAGTATGACTTATGTAACACTTATGCAGTAGATAAATTGCTTATGTTTTCTATTTGGTATGAGCAATATTTGTGCCTTGGACTTCAGAAAATTAAATGAAAATGTGCTGCTACCATTTCTGATGGTTTGTGTTGCCATTTTGCCAAATATTGGTCCTAGTCAGCCTGTAGTAACTTCAGAAATAAGTTAATAATGTTTTCCTCGTAAAATCAACCAGAAATTACATAAAAGTTAGAGAAAATCACAGTTACATGAACATATGTTCCCCACTCGTGCACTTGCACGTATTATGGATCATGATATAATAAAGCTCAACAAAATCATGTGATGATTCTGATCAACACACACCCTTCTGAATGACTAATCCATCGACCTGGGGTGGAGTAGCCGACATAGCTGTATACATATGTACCATGAATTACAAAATTATATGTGCGGACACCTTGGTAAGTCGTGTCTTAAAAGTAGTAGAGGGGACAAACACGTTATTTGGATACGTGTCTATTGTCGTTTTTGTCAATTACTAGTATACCATAGAAAAATAATTGATAATTGCCACATCAAATTTTGGGTCAGGTCAGTTTCAATTCAAGTCAATAGAGGGTAAATTTCGATATTGGGAAAGGTAATCAGGTATAGATTAGTTTCATCGTGTCTTTTGAGAAGTGAAGGATTTGAGAAAACGGGAAAAACATAGGAGTTGCTGTAAAAATAACATGAATTGGGAGACAAAATTGTTGCTGCAGCAAAGCTTGACAGCTAATTTGGACCTTGGTAACCAAGTAAAGCTAAAGAGTCTTGGAGAAAGACATGCCATAAAATAAGCTGGTTTAAGCATTAAAATCATGTTACCTAAATCAGAAGATTACAAAAAGAAGGGATTCTTTTTGTCTTTTTTACTTCATCTAATCTACACATTTTACAAGCCAAAAACTTCCATGATAATCACCCCATATATATATGTTCGAAACTTGAAAGAGTTCATTGTACAAAGATGGCTAACTCTCCCTCAAATCAACCTATTCGTTCGATTAGTTTGCCATCAAGACCTCACCCACTAGTCCCCCAAATCGACGAACATCTAGCTAGTCTAAGGTCTTTTGAGGTGGTTTCTACCTCGGTGTCTCAATTATCCTCACTAGGCCACAAACTTAACATCCTTAAAGATGTGTATGATTGTTTGGGTGATTTAATTCTTCTCCCACAAAACGAACTTAAACTTAAGCAATACTCGAATGCTAGATGCATCGATGAGTTACTCGATGGATCATTGAGGCTCTTGGATGTGTGTGGCATTGCAAAGGATGCATTGTCACAAGTGAAGGAGCATATGCAAGAAATACAATCTTCTCTTAGAAGAAGATCCAATGCAGAGTTGAGCATTGGCGAGGAAATGGTTAGGTACGTGAATATGAGGAAGAATACTAAGATGATGATAAAGAGATGCTCTAAGGAAGTTAAGGATATGATGAAGAAAAAACCTATCTTTCAAGAAGATTATAAGAATGTTGCAATGGTTGATGTTTTGAGAGAAGTTGAGGGAGCAACAGCTGAGATTTTCGAGTCTTTGTTAGAAGCAATTTCAGGGTCAAAGGCGGTATCTCATAAGAGAAGTGCTAGTTTGTCTAATGTTATGTGCAGGCTGATAAAGTACCAAAATGAGTCATTTAACAAGGAAGAAGAGGTGTCAAGAAATGAATTCGAAGATATCGATTCGACTTTGAGTTCTTTGCTCATTGCTCAGAAGAAGAGGAGTTGTCTCAATGTAGAACAAGCTGAGAATTTGAGAGGAAAGTTTGTGAAGTTAGACTCAGCAATTCAGGATTTGGATGAAGTGTTAGAAGGCTTGTTCAGGTGTCTGGTTAAGACCAGGGCAACCCTCCTAAATCTCAGCTACTATTGAAAGTTGCAAAATCATCAAAAACCACCCAAAAAAACCAAAAACAAGAGAAGTTTACACATTAAAATCTTTGAATTGAAATCACTACCCTGCCTGCCCAGCCTCGATTTTGTCCGGGTTTGAGCAGCCTTTTTCCGGTTTGAAAAACACGCCTCGGGTAATTTTTCCCAGCTTTGGGAACATTTTTTGGCCTGGAATGTTATTTCAGGCTATTTTTGCCCGAGGCACGGTTCAATCAAACCTGATTTTTACAGTATTGATATATTTTGACTTTTGACCCCAAAGTAGTGCTTGGCCAAATGGGTCTAGCCTAAATGGGCTTCTTTTTATCGCGACCTAATTTGGTCTACGATCACCTCTAAAAGAAATGTCATATATGTATAGACTACTAAGTTAGTTTCAATGTTTTTCTTATTGTCATGTTTTTGGTCCGTCAAGATGTATATTGTAATTACTTTTTCCTTTTTGAAGTTATGTATTGTAATTACTTGTATGATTGTATCAATGGCCGTTTTTTTTTAACTCAATTTCAACACTATCATGATAATTACCTTGTTATGAAAAATCCCTCGCTATTAATTATACAAATTTTTGGTTAGTCCAAGATCAAGTCATGTGGTTTTGGGTGTGATAATTTAGGTTTGAGTTAGGAGATTCGGATGAGGTTACTCTTGCCAGGTCTATAACATATCAGCATGTCATGGACTTATTCAAGCAACACACAGAAGCATCTGCCTGCATCATGCTGTCAAATAAATCATAGATAACATGTGCACAAAGATGACCTTACAGGACTTGAAAGTGCTAATCATTCATATCATAATAGTATAATCAATCACTAATTGAAATCCGTTCGTGCGTTTTATTAAAAAAATCAAACTGCCAAGAAAGAAACATCACTGAGTTTTCCCCCTGAAGACAAGTTGTCAGAGCCCTCAGTGTGCAGCCTCATCTTCAGAAATTTTTTAAGCTTAAATTTCCGCGACAATTTCAGCACATCATTATGAGTTAATCAAAGGGAAGCAGATTGGAAGCTGACATGTTAGTTAGTTAGTAAGTGGTGAGAAAAAACAGGACGAAACCATTTGGTTGGATTCAGGTTCTTTAGTAAAGGTATTCATTCTCCCTTAAAAACTCAAGAGCTATTTCTTCTGCAATAACTGAATCCCCAAATCTCATTTATGTTGCTGATCTATTCTATGAACATTATCAGAGCGGCTCACAATATCTAAAGCTGCCTCGATCTTGTCTAGTGGTTCAAGACTTGTACACCAAAATTGGGAAGCACATTTTTAATTAGTGAGTCTTTGCTGCATAGTTTTCTTGTTTACTAATTCCATAATAGTATTACGGATTATCATATTGTATGTACATGTTCGAGTACTATCTTGGCCTTTCTTTTCTGTAATGCAGCATTAACACACCTTGATTAACTAAAAACTTGAATAATTTAGTAAATGTAACACGAGGAAAGGATGCTTGTAATCTATCAAGCTTTTAAACAAATATTAAAACAGTAGATTGCTTACAAAATTTGACAGTTGGTCAGATTATGAAACTACATGTTTCTTTCCAGTAGAGATCAGATTGTTATATTATAATATGAAGTGAAGCTGGTAGGAACAAGCGCGCAGCTCAACAAGACAATTAACAAGTGTTGGTGATGTAATTCCACTCGTGTGCAGCGCACAAATTGGATCATGCCGGAAATCCTACATACATAACCTTGAGTCCTTGGGTTTTTATTCAAGAATATGACCATTCATCCTACTGCTTAGTTGCCAAGTTTGATAGGAGAGGACAATCTGAAAACACGGCATGGAACCATGCAAGAAAGCCCTCAATAGAAAAAAGAAATCGCGGTACCTCTCACTTAATATGAGATTCCTCCTGTCTCCTCATACTTAGATATATAAAGACACGATTGGGAGAGAAGACACCAAACCAAGACTTAGCTTGCAATTGAGCTCTTAACCTTTGCTCCCCCAAAAGGTCCAAAAAACAATTTGAAATGGCCTCTTCTTCGGTTTCCAAGTCCTTTTTCCAAACCCGTTCTATAAGTTTTCCATCAAGATCTCACTCTAAAACCAATCAATTTGAACAACAGTTGTACACATTGAGGTCTTCTCAAGCTGCCTCAACTTCTTCATCATCATCAGTAAGCCACAGGCTTAACAGTCTTAAGGACTTGTACGACAATGCTGATGAGTTGCTTCAACTGCCTTCTAACCAACTACTTCTATCCAAAAACAAACATACAAAATCTATTGAAGAAGTCTTAAGTGGATCTCTGAGACTCCTGGAGATCTGTGGTACATCCAGGGATGTCTTACAGCAGTCAAAAGAGCGATTACAGGACATACAATCAGTGCTGCGCAGAAGGAGCAATGGCGAATTTAGCATTGCCAATGAAGTAACAGAATATCTAAACACAAGAAAGAAAGCCAAGAAAACCATTAAAAAGTGCTTAAGAGACATCAAGGAAGCTCACAAAAACACCGAGACAAATGCCATAGTAAGCATGCTGAAAGATACAGAAGCAATAACTACTGATAATTTCAAGTCCTTTCTGTCATACATTGCTGGTGCAAAGTTGCAGTCTCAGAAAAGTAGTTGGTCTGCAGTTTCCAAACTAATCAGCCAGAGTGGAAACAAGGAAGCAGCAGCATTAATCAGCGAATTCGACATTGTTGATGATACATTGGATTTACTAATCCAGAAGAAGAAAACTGGCATTAATGTGTCACAAGTAGAGGATATGAAAAGGCAGATGATAAAATTAGAGTCTGAAATTCAAGATTTTGATGAAGCATTAGAATGTTTGTTTAGGCATCTTGTTAGGACTAGAGCAACTCTTCTTAACATCCTCAGTAATTAGACTACAAATTACTTGTGTACAAATTATAGCTAGGCTTTAAATTGTGAATGAAAGTGCAATATAATGAATACAGTTTTCTATAATTGTACATTTTGTTGTCGTCGTATACTCGTATATATTGATCCAAGTTGCTAATAGTTCACATACAGAATCACTTTAGGATTATACTGAACAGATAGCAAAAGGTTACAACTTGCGGACCCTGGATCAATGACGAACACAATCGTTTAGCCCAGAGCTTATTAACTCTTAAATTTGAGGATGATGCTCCTTTCTTTAGCTAGTCTGGACCGACTTGGTCTCCCTAGATAAAATGTTTTGATCAACAATAATAAGGTGGTCTAAATTTCATTAAAGGTGATTTGAAATATTAAGACTAGAATAGACCCGGTGTACAATAACTTAGTATAGACCCAACCTTCTAGTATACCATACGAATGTGATTATATCATACGAAATGTGATTATATTATTACAAAAGTGATTATATCATCTTGAAATTATTATGTAAATGTATCACTCAAAAAGTGAATTTATCATTATAAAAAGTATCAAATAGTAAATTACATCATTCAAAAGATGATTTTTAAATTTTATCATCCTAAAGATAATTATATAATCTCATTAAATGGTTTAATATGAGTTCAAAATATGACTCACAAAAATATAATTATATCATCTAAAAAAGTGATTATATCATCCAGAATGTGATTATATTATTTGAAAGTGTCAAATTTTGGGTCTACAATAATTTATTGTAGACCGGGTCCATACAAGACCAATTGGATTTGAAATCGGGTCAGGAATAACAAGTCATAATAATTTCAAGTTGAGTTAGTAGCAGATCGGATTGAATTATTGGGTCGCGTAAATAATAGGTCAGGTAAAATTCGGGTAGGGTCAGTAACAAGTCGGGTTTATTTTGGGTCAATTCAATAACAAGTCAGATTGATTTTGGGTCGGGTTTTTAACAGGTTGGGATAAATTCGGGTTGGGTTAGAAACAGGTCGGGTTGCATTTAGGTCAGGTTAGTAATAAGTCGGGTTAAATTCGGATTTTAAAAGGTTAAAACAAGTTTGGGTCAATTTCGGTTCAAGTCAGGTTCGGTGCAAGTTAATTAAATTGGCCGTTGTAAACCAGTAAATCGGGCAAGTTGTAAACCAGTAAATTGGCCGTTTAAAGGCAAATTGGATGGATCCACCCACCCAACTGGACTCCTGGAGGGTAATAGGGACCATGATAAATATTTCGGCAATTTTTGTTCCGAGCGAAAAAAAAGTCGAATTTCCAAAACTGAAGGCTAATGTCCACGTTTTTTGAAAATTTTGGAGGTTTTAGGGCCTGGTGTTACAATGTCTTGAGATTTTGGGGAATACGTCTGGGGGTCAAAAAATGTCATTTGGAACCTTATATGATCATTATTTGTTTTCATAGATCGATGTTCGTGGTAGGCTTGAGTTAATGAAATCAGTGCAAGTTGTAACCGATAAATTGGTCGTTTAAAAGAAAATTGGATGGTTCCAACCACCCAATTGGACTCTCGGAGGATATTAGGAATCATGGTTAACATTTCGGCAATTTTTTTATGGGCGAAAAAAAGTCAAAAAATTCCAAAATTGAATGCTTAATATCCACGCTTTTTGAGAAATTTAGTAGGTTTCAAGGCCCGGTGTCGAAAAGACTTGAGATTTTAGTGGATACATTTCGGGGTCATATAATTCTGTTTGCAACATATATGATCATCATATGTTGTCATAAATGTTCGTGGTAGGCTTGATTTAATGAAATCGGTGCAAGTTATAATTTGGTAAATTGGTCGTTTAAAGGCAAATTGGATGGTTCCACCCAGCCAATTGGACTCCTTGAGGGTATTAGAGACCATGGTAAATATTTCGGCAATTTTTATTTCCGGGCGAAAAAAGTCAAAAAATTCCAAAATTGAACCCTAAGATCCACACTTTATCAGAAATTTTGGAGGTTTCGAGGCCCGGTGTCGAAAAGTCTTGAAATTTAAAGAGATACATCTCGAGGTCATATAATGTCGTTTGGAACCATATATGATCATTATATGTTGTCATAGATGTTCATGGTAGGCTTGAATTAATGAAATCGATGAGAGTTGTAAATCGGGTAAATTGGCCGTTTAAAGGAAAATTGGATGGTTACACCCACCCAATGGGACTCCCAGAGGGTATTAGGAACCATGGTAAAAATTTCGACAATTTTTATTTCCGATCGAAAAAAATCAAAAAAATCCCAAAATTGAAGGCTAATATCCACGCTTTTTGAGAAATTTTGGAGGTTTCGCGGCCCGTTGTCAAAAAGCCTTGAGATTTTAGTTTATACATCTCAGGGTCATATAATGCTGTTTGGAACCATATATGATCATTATATTTTGTCATAAATGTTTGTGGTAGGCTTGAGTAAATGAAATTGGCGCAAGTTGTAAACCAGTAAATTGGCTGTTTAAAGGCAAATTGGATGGTTCCACCCAACCAATTGGTCTTCCGGAAGGTATTAGAGACCATGGTAAATATTTCGGTAATTTTTATTTACGGGTGAAAAAAAAAGTCAAAATATTCAAAAATTGAAGGTTATATACACGCTTTTTAAAAAAATTTAAAGTCTTCGGTGCTCGATTTCGAAAAGTCTTGAAATTCTGTGGAATACATCTCGGGGTCATATAATGTTGTTTGGAACCATATATGATCATTTTTTTGTCATAAATATTCGTGGTAGACTTGAATTAATGAAATCGATATAAGTTGTAAACCGGTAAATTGGTTGTTTAAAGGCAAATTGGATGGTTCCACCCACCCAATTGGACTCCCGGAGGTTATTAGGGACAATGGTAAACATTTCGGCAATTTTTATATCCGAGCGAAAAAAAAAATTCAAAAAAATTCCAAAATTGAAGGCTAATATCCACGTTTTTTGAGAAATATCGATTGTTTCGGGGGCCCGGTGTCCAAAAATTGAGATTTTAGAGGATACATCTCGGGGTCATAAAATGCCATTTTGGAACCATGTATGATCATTATATGTTGTCATAATAGGCTTGAGTTAATGCAATCGGTGCAAGTTGTAAATTAGTAAATTAGTCGTTCAAAGGCAAATTGGATGGTTCCAACTAGCCAATTGGACTCCTGGAGGGTATTAGGGACCATGGTAAACATTTCGGCAATTTTTATTTCCGGGTGAAAAAAATAAAAAAAATTCTAAAATTGAAGGCTAATATCCACGTTTTTTGAGAAATTTTGGAGTTTTCGGGTAGAGCTGTCAATTCGGGTAAACGGGTCGAGTTTAGGTCAGTGGGGTGGGGCGGGTCAACTCGGTTCGGGTCTGTAACACCCTAGAAATTCCTTTCTTTAAATACTCATTCTACTCTTTTTTTTTTAAACAAATACGATTTAGGAATAACTAAGACATTACCGCCACTGTGAAAACGACTAAGGCAATTATCAAAGATACACAGCGGAAGACTCAAAATTAAAAACCGTTTAAACAAGTCAACCCAAAGTCAACCAAACGAAAATAAAGTTTAAAACCAAACGAACAAGTCAAATAAAATCAAACTACAACTTGGAACCATTAAAGGCCCTTATTCGAAAAATCGTTCCCAAATCAAACCTTTATGTTAGTCCACACATAATATATATCATAAATACATAAAGCATAAAACACATTGTAATCTAATGAAAACTAATAGGATTCACTCTTCACTCATGCCCCATCATGATCATGCTTCAATACCTGAAAAGTTTATCTCTATTTGTTTCCACTACTCTCCATTAAAAATGGGTCATCATAGGGCCAAGGTAAAGACATGGCCAAAACACAAACACACACAATCAGCAAAGTTGAGTACATAAGCGTAAAATAGCCACACTAAAATGCTTTCACCTATCAACACACACTTACCTCATTGCACCTGTTCACAAACACACCAATCAACACAATACAATTACTAGACCCTAATTAATTCATTTTGCATTGATTACGCATCGAACGGGTTTCCACCTATTAACCTCCCCCAAATAAATTTGAGGTTAACTAGCACGGGAGCTAACCGTGCCAGCGACAAACAACACAAAGGTGGCGGAATTCCTGCGCATAATAAATAATTAAAAGGAATATATAGCGTCTTGTACTCCATTGGAAGTTATGGTTAAATATAAAACCCCATAACCCCCCCCCCCATTGTTCATACTCAAGGTATATACGTTCCAAGAGTTTTGGTGCGTAATCTCTTTCACTTTACGTTATTGACACATTATTAGACTTGGTGATGACTCTCAAAGCATAATAAGTCAATCAACAATAATTATTCAATCAAGAAAATATACCAATTTAATTCTTGAATAACTAGTGACCACATCTTATTTATTGTTGAACCCTTTTTAATTCTACCTCAGTGTCAAAGACACCTTAAACGCATAATGCGCCAAAAATCCTATCCCTCGGTAACAACTTAAGTGCACAAAGGCACCAACATACAATTTATTCCTTGTGTACATAGACACTTATATAGCTCCTTCCTCATGCTTAAAGCATCAATAAAAATTATTTGAACCATAATAAAATTCCTTTTTAATATTCCAAACATAATTAAACACGTAGTTTAATTAATCATGTCTTCTAACATGCCATAAATAAAATTGTGGTTCAAAAGCAACATGCCCAAAATATAATCTTCCAATCTAAAACCATCACAAATAATTCATGCTTCACAATTCAATCACAAACACCATAAATTCACAATTCCATACATAAACCTTAGCATGATTCTACTTATAATCAATTACAAATAATCCTAGCATTATTCTACATCACCAAAATATGCTAAGTACGCGTACGTACCTTGAGTACGTTATTAAAACTGCCACGACTAGTAGAAATCGCTTACTTCAAAATCTCCTACACATTAAATTCATAATAGAGTATTAATATCCACTCTAAACAAATTTCCAGCAATATATACTATTTTAAAACCCTTCATAATTTAATTAGAATAAGCTGAAATTATATTTAAAACACCATAAATTAAGTCCCAATTAATGGGTAATCAAAATTTCTTCAAGAAACCTAATATCAAGTGTTCTACATAAAATTCCAGCACTTTATTATACTTAAAACTTGCTGTAATTTGGTTTTAAAACACTTAAAACAAAGGCTTACCCTATTATACATCATAATCTTTCAATAAATCATGAAACAAGAACATAAGGTTTCAAAAATTGGGGCTTTTTAATTAAAAACCAAATCTGAAAATTAATTCACACAATTACAATAACCAAACATCAAAATTAAATCTCCAAACTCATAATTTATAATTAGACTATATCATAGATTAGATTTAGGTAATAAAGATTTGATTTTTAAACAAGAAAAACCTTTTTTTTTTCGAAAAGGGGCTGCCGACAGCAGGGGGCCGGCGCCACTGCCGGTGGTCGCCGCTGCTGCCGGCTGGTGCTGGTGGCCGGCAGCCCACCGGTGGTGGTGGTGGCTGCCGGTGGTGGTGTGCACAGCAAGAGGGGAAGGGAAGGAGAGAGAAAGAAAAAAAAAAGAAAGAGAAAAATAAAGAGAAAAGGGAGAGAAGTTTACCTTGGGTTTTCTCCACTCTGGGCAACGTTGAATTGCCTGATAAGAGGGATATTTATACCCCTTCTCTATCTCCCCTTTTACCCTAAACTTTCCTCCTTTAGTTTTTCCTAATCCCTTCTCTACTAAAACTTGTTAAAAATCATAATTTCTTAAAATAAAACCCCAACTTCTATTAATTAATTAATTAAACGACTTTTCCTTTTGTAAAATATTCCCAATTTACATGGGATAAATAATTAAAACATCATAATTAAAATGCTAGAGTTATTTAAATACCCTTATAAAATATATATATTAAATAAAATACGTATAAAATGTATATATATTAAATAAAATATGTATAAAAATACGGGGTATTACAGGGTCAATTCAGGTTAATTCCATAACCTATGCGGGTTGGGTTTGGGTTGGGTCATGCTTAAGTCGGGTCATACTTCTTATCGGGTTTGGGTCAGGTTTAGGCCAGGTTAATAACGGGTTACATTTGGGTCGAGTGAACAATAAGTCGGGTTTAATTCGGATTTTCACGGGTTAGGGTAATTCTCAGGTTCTAGTCGGTTTCGATTCATGTCGTCAATTTGCGGGTTAGAATTAGGTTGGGTCATTCTCGGGTTTGAGTCGTGTTCGGTTCAAGTCAATAATTTGCGGGTTATAATCAGGTCGGGTCACTTTCAAGTTGGGTCAGTCTCGGGTTTAAGTCGGGTTTGGTTCAAGTAAATAATTTGTGGGTTATAATTAGGTTGGGTCATTTCCAAGTTGGGTCATTTTGGATTCAAGTCGGGTTATGTTCAAGTCAATAATTTGCAGGTTACAATCAGGTCGGGTCATTTTCAAGTCAGGTCATATTCGGGTTCAACTAACTATAAATAGATAATTATCATTTTTATCAAGCTAATCATTTTCGTTGACTATAATATATATGGCAATATAATAGGGAATTATAGTATATAATTTAGGAAGATAATTATCTCCTTTGACCATACAACAAATATATACTATATTTAATTCTTAAATTTGAGGATGATGCTCCTTCCTTTTACTGTTATTGACCAACTTGGTCTCCCTAGACAAAATGCTTTGATCAATTAACAATAATAAGGTGGTTTAATTTGCACTTAAGGTGATTTGAAATCGGATCGGGAATAATTTGGGTTTGAATTTAGGTCAGGTCAATAACAAGTCGTGTTGATTTCAAGTCGGGTTAGTAACAGATCGGGTTGAATTTTTTGGTCGATTAGTAATAGGTCTTGTAAAATTCGGGTCGGGTCAACAACAAGTCAGGTTGAATTTGGGTCAGTTTAATAACAAGTCGGGTTGATTTCGAGTCCGGTTTGTAACAGGTTGTGTTAAATTCGAGTTGGGTTAGGTACTGGTCGGGTTGAATTCAGGTCTGGTTAGTAACAAGTCGAGTTAAATTCGGGTTTTGACGAGTTAAAACGGGTTTGGGTCAATTTCGGTTCAAGTTGGGTTCGATTCAGGCCAATAATTTACGGGTTACATTCGGGTCGGGTCATCTTCAGCCTTCAAGTCAGTTCATGTTTGGGTCCGGGTCTCACATAATCGGGTCAATTCGGGTCTAGGGTTGGTTTCAGGTCAGGTCGGGTTTGGGTCACTATTTTTTCGGGTTCAGATGGTTCGGTTAATAATCGGGTTTGAGTCGGTATTTTGGGTCGGGTCAACTTTTGACAGCTCTACTTATGTTTGTATGGATGGACGCATGTATCACCCATATGACTTTATTCGTAGTCCGTATCTGTATACTTATCAAACCATAATTTAATCAAAAGACTAGGATTTGTTGTATATACTCGGGTGCACCAACAACAAATTAACCCAAGGTTAGTTTTTGTTCTTCATTTGATAATTACATGAAAAATAATTATCAAAATGAGAATAAAATACTCATGGGTGTACGGTACACCCGGGTGTATGTAACACCTCTCTCAAAAAACAAAATCTAATTTAGGGCCTATTTTCTGCAGATTATTTTCAGTTTATTTCAGTTCTTAATTTCCTTCTCTAATAAATTATTTAGTTCAGTTCAGCTCAATTTAGTCAATCAGAACAAGCTCTTAGATCTTTTTAAAACTTTACGGAGTACTCCCTCCGTTTTTAAATACTTGCTTCACTTTCCTTTTTTGGCCGTTTTTAAATACTTGCTACATTCACTTATTAAGAAAGTTTTTACAATATTAAATTGATTTCTCTCACCTAATGAACCCACCATGATCATATTTTATTATTTTTATATTCTTTCTTCTTCAATTCTTTCTCTTACTTTTGTTTTTAATAATTTTATTTTAAAACGGAGGGAATAATTTTTAACCTAATGAAGCATTAATTATTTTCCTTTGAAAAAATTAACATGAATCTCAATTTAATTTTGCTACTCCTATCAATGACCTCATTTGTGCATGATCCAAAGGTAAACATAAAAGCGGTAATTTTCATTGCAATACAGTTTTACAGAAAACATGGGGTGAAAAAACCGTCACCAAATAAAAAGATGAGAGCCGGTGAAAAAGACAGCGAGATCGCCGGAAACGAGGGTTCGAACCTTTTCGCCGCCTCTTGCATTTCTCTGCGGCGTCACTTTCCGATCGACGCAAACCCTTGTTTTTCACCCTCTTCTTTGCGAGGTACCACCAATTGTTTCTTATTTTTCACGTTTTAAATTATGATCATATTGATTTGTACATGTTTTCCCCTAAATTTTCCATCCCATAAACCCAATTTCGCTTTACTTTTTTTTTTCTTTATTTGCTTCAAAAGATACAATCTTTTTTGGGTGATGGGAAGGAATTGTCGTATTTATTGGTTGAGTTTTTTAATTAGGAAGTGATCATCCCCAATTCGTTAGTTAATTGCTGAATTACATGCACCATGAGTGGAAATTTGAGATTATTTTATTATTCCACTCTAATTTAATTCTCCCTCTTTAGTGTTTGCCCTAGGAATAAACTTTCACTTTTTAAAGAGTTGTGTAACTTGTATTGAGTTTGTAGGTAAATTTGCACTCTAATTTAATTGGGTTTGTGTTGAATTATTGTTTTAATTGGCAAATTCAGAGGGACAAATGAAAAAAGTAACTGGGGTAATTTATTAAGGACAGTTGTGAAGAGTTGGAAAGAAGGGGTTCGGATTTTGTTTAGAAATTATATTTGGAGAAAATTGGTTTGCAAGAGCATGTAGTATTAGATAGAAATGATTGAAGGAAGATGATGTTAGTGGATGACCATAGAGATAAGGTAAATTATTGGTTCGTGTAGTCGACCCCATCTTTACCCATCAAGGCTTTGGATGTCTTGTTGTGTTTATGTAATGACTAATGAGAGAAAGACTTGTTTTGGATTTTATTGACACTTTAAATTAAGGTTTGTTCTGATTTACTGAACTAAATTGATTGGAGAAGAACCGAATTGAACTGAACTTAATAGAGCTGAAATGAATTGTTGATGAGAGTAGATAATTAAGAACTGAACTGAACTAAACTGGTTGGAGCTGAACTGAATTGAAATTAAGTTGGGTTTCTCACTTCTTTTGATCTTTTTTCGTGTTCGTAGTCAGATTTTTCGGTAGTTTGAGGCTTTCTGCCAAATCCTTGACTATTGTCTCCATTTTTAACTTTAAAGGAATGCACCTTTTGGGGTTTCAAAAGATGTCTATGTGAAACACTTTTAAATACTCCATTTTATGCAATACACATTTATGCATTTTCAACATGATCACCTTTGTTTTCTTATTAGATTATTTGGTGTATCTAATTTTATGTGTACTATACTTTATGGCTCTTGGAAGGTACAAATTTGTTCCTAAGTGCTTTTATGTGGTGAACATATTCATGAAAAGACTGAAGTTGCTTTTCTGTAAGTTGTATTCTCCTCTATCCGAATATGATAAGTCACATTGACACAATCCCTTGACATTAAGCATGTGACACTATTATACTATGATCCTTCATAAATTTATAACAGCTTGATTGTTCTCATAATATTATGTGAGAAATATGACAAATAATTATTGTTCGATTTATAATGGTTGTAGAACAATTTGTTCATGCTTCACCAATGAGAAAAGAGCTTACCTCAAGAATGGACCAATGCTGATTTAAAATGAAAATGATTGAGTTACCCTGAACAATTTACTACCCAGTTTTAAGGGAAGAATGAAGCTTTTATAACTGTTGTCCTACCGTCTGAATATTCACCGTTCTTGTCAGCCACAAGTGGCCTTCTTTTATCTTCATAATCGTAGATTGCAAATTTTTTGACTGAGTTTGGCTGAAGTTTATTGAAGATGTGGTGACACAAGGAAACTACTCTTCATGAACATTATTGCCGTACTTTTTGTTAAAAGGTCCACGTCTGTTTTAGATGAATGAACAATCATTGTAGACTGCACTGGCAGTAGGATTGTAGGATGAAAAGTTGACACTCTTTTTGGGTGTACAAGAAATGGAGTTCAAGAGAGTGAACGTAATTATGTCTACATGTTATACTCGCCCTATTTCTGCTGGAAAAGTATGTTTTTAAAATTTAATGGCAACAAATCATGATAACTCTTATTTTGTTTATTATTCAAGGTGGAACATGTATAGTAATGTAGTTACGTTTATGTGATTATTGTAATCCTCATTTTGGCTTATTAATATCTATTAGTCATGTTCTGATCATGTCAAGTGTTGGTTCTGCAAACTATGTAACAGGAAGTGGACGTGCCGGAGTGGTTATCGGGCATGACTAGAAATCATGTGGGCTTTGCCCGCGCAGGTTCGAATCCTGCCGTCCACGTTTTTGCTGCTTGATTAATTCAATTTTACTGAAGTGCATGATGTTTGTTAGGATGATAATAGAGGAGCTATACTTTGGATGAAAGGTAACTTTTACTCTTATTTTTGTTTCTTATATGGTTTAAGCTTAGCTTCTTGAATCCTGCTATACTTTTACAAGCAATACGTTATAAAATAAAGTTATAAACTGTATCCTGCTATTGATTTTTTGTTTAATAATAATTTAGATTTCAGGTCATCTGTTGAAGTCATGGTGGGGGCTCATACTTATGATTGATCGCCTTTGTGTTGCTAGAATTACGGGAATGAACTTTCCAATATGAAGTGGACATGCTGGAGTGGTTATCGGGCATGACTTGAAATCTTGTGGGCTCTGCCCGCACAGGTTCGAGTTGTGCCGTTCACACTTCTTAGTTTGACATAGCCATTTGATTACTGAATGATTTGTGATAGCTGATTCAAATTTCAATGTACTTTCTTTTTATTCGGTCTCAAAAATGAATGAAAATTGTTGAAGCAGTTTATTGATAGGCTGATACTTGTAATGTATGGCTGGGGTAGTTGTTCGGGGTGGTATGGAAGTGGGAGACAGATGAAGCACTTTGTATAATTTTGATTCCTCCCACTTCTATCTTACTGATTTGAAGTTTGTGTTTCTCTATCTTACAGACTTCTCCTGCTCCTCAGACTTGTAATACACTTGAACATCATGGCTTGTATGTTTTCTAGTGGGGTAGAAGATGCATATATTGGCTGATTTGGACCTCATAGTATTCATAATGGAACATATGTACAATTAACACACTTTATAAAAAGTATGAGATAAAAAGTGTTCATCCCATTGCAGTTTAAGCCATTAAATCTATCACTGTCACTCTTGGATTGTTTTTTGTCTGACCTGTTAGCTTGTGATCCAGTGCTGATGGAAAATGACTTGGATGCATATTTTAGCATGCACAAACACAAACACATGTGTTTTCTTCTTGAATAATGTACATTGTTTAGTATAATATGGAGATTGTGAACATACCGGATCAGATTTAGGGCACGACTAGAAAACTTGTGGGGTAGTCCATGGAGGTTTATTTCCTGCTGTTAACGTTTACTTCCCAAATATTATTTTCATGTATTTTGCAATAAGTATTCATTAAAATCAATATAAGTTACGCTCTAGGGGCATGGTGCTGTTGCTTGGCATTTGGTTTTAATTTCATAGTACAAATTTTCAGATAATTTGGAGCTGTCTGGCTTGACTTATGACATGACACATGAATTATGAGCTCTAAAATTATTGTGTTTTAATTTGGAGCTGTCTGGCTTGACTTATGTTGCTTGGTCTTGGACTCTGGTTTTATGTGTAGAAATTCCATGATTCTTGGCTCAAATTCAGGCGTCAAGTGTCTGTACTCATGAAGGGAAATCAAGATGAAATGAAAAGTTCGAGTAAACTAGGCTAGAGTAATGCAACAAAAGATGCATACTGTTAATTAATGGTATATGATCCAACAGATTGGTAACAGGGATTCTAACCCAAATTCATAGTTGCGTATTAAAAAGTATCATTCTGCTGTTAATGACTATATTTTCTTTGATTTGCATCAAATTCATGCATCTGTAGGATGTAACTTTTTACCGAGAAGCAAATAATCAACATTCTCAATACTGCTACAGATGCAAAATTTGTCAATAATCTGTTGACTGTATTATAATTATTTCAGGTACTGGTTAATAAAACCTGCTGTACTTAACAATAAGTGTGGACGTGCCGGAGTGGTTATCGGGCATGACTAGAAATCATGTGGGCTTTGCCCGCGCAGGTTCGAATCCTGCCGTCCACGCTTTTTTTTTTTTTTCTTTTAATTTAGAGTGTGTAAATTTTTTCAGTAAGATCTAGATACTGTGGATTATCTACATTCTGAAAGCAGAATTATGCTGCTAGTCTAAAGATTTTCATAATATAAATGCTTTAATATGAATATTATTCTCATTATTGTGATCTACTATAAGTGCTCATTGATAACTTTTTCATTTTTATGCTGTCATTAGCTTAGCTTTGTCCAAGCAAAAGTGGTAGACATTCTGGAGTGATATTGGGCACTGGACAAAATCATGTAGGCTCTGTCTATGCAAGTACCGAGGTACGAATCTTTTCATTGACATATTTCTATACCTATACTAGATTCGGCCAAATTGATATGAACTGAAATTGACTCAACCCGATTTTTTTTTAACATAAAAAATCATAAATTTATCATAAGTTCTTCTATAGTATAACTAAATATGACCGAAAAATAAGTTTTCACCCAAATATGACTATAACCAAACTAATAAAAGGATATAATATGAACATTTTTAAAGAAAAATTTCTGAACATACGAAGTTGTATTGTGTGTTTATCCATTATAAATTACTCCGTAAAGTCTAACCCTACGCCTTTAAAAGTTAAAAAATTATCATCTTAGTTGGGGTTAGGGGAGGTTGGCTATTAGAGATTTCGTTTCTTAATTATCCTTTATTCTAGCAAGTGATGAATGCTTGTCTTAGGTTCCGAATATAAAGTACAAATACATTTACTGACCTCTTTAGTTCTCAGTCCTTTATATGTACGAGTATATAATCCAAAGTATAAGAGAAGGAGACATTAATATTTAAGAAAAATCGGGATGATAAAAAGTAATTTATGTTCAACGATTTTACTACTAGTAATATGAATACACTATACATGACATATTAGTAAAACTCATATATAATACTCCACTTTATTAATGTGCTGATTTCTAGCTACAAACAACTATCTCATCCCTCCGTAACTCTCATTTACTTTGAATGGAGGATAGCAAAACAAGATTAAAGCTCAATTAATTAAACCAAATTAGTCACATCTAGCACAATTAATTAAGTAGAGTTGATCATAGAATTTGGGAAATTAGAGTTGGGCTAGAGAAGTTCAACAAATTCTCAAGCCATGGGCTGCATGATAGTGAGCAAAACGGGTCTTGGCCCCAATCCATACCCGATTTCGGAACTTGTAGTTCTAAGTTCTCCTTTCCAAAGGGTAGTTGTATAGTGTTAGGAGTAGGAGTAACAGCAGCAGCAGCAGCAGCAGCAGCAGCTACTTTGCAATCGTTCTCTACAAAAGTAGTTTGATCTTCCTTCTTCAAAGTTGTAACCATATAGTTTGTAGACATTGGTGCAAAAAAGTCTTGTAATAATTGTCCGCTACCATTGACATTAGCATTAGCATTAGCATTAGCAGCACCGAAAAAGGAGTGATGAGTATCATTTGATGATGATAGAGGAGATGTGGGATAAGAATATGCTAATCCATTTGTTGACTTCTCTTCTTCCTTGGCTGCTCTTTGTTCTAGTTCCTTTAATGAGGTTGCCTTCCTGTATATCTTGCACAATACTATGTCCTGCATTAACATTATCTACCATGAGACTCGTATTCGATCCAGGGTATAACAAAGGATATATAAACCAAAGTGTTTTTTACTGATTAAAACTTATTTTTACGTCTTTAGCATATTGTATATTGTACTACTCCTTATTTATTGATAATGAACCTTGGTGGGACCTATGATTTGGTAATACATGTGGAAATTTAATGTGGAGCTTAGGAAAGATCCTCGACTTTTCATATTAATTGAAGGTAATATTATATGATGTTTATGCATGTACATATGGATAGTAATGAAAGTAGAGAGTATTTGATATGCATCAATAGACAAACCTTAGGTAAAACATAATTATCAGGGAGGCGGTATTCATTCATAATCCAATCAGTCTTGGTACCTCTTGGTGCTCTACCTTGGTAGAACACAAGAGTCTTCCTTAACCCGATAACCCGTTTAGGCTCCGATAAGCTCCATATCTTTCGGTCCGAGCCCGTAGCCTTCCAAAACCCATGTTCCGTAGTTCTGTTAGGCCTTCCACCATTGCTATGCTTCCTGTCTCTTGGAACAAAGAAGTACCACTCTCTTTCTCCTATTTTCGCCAACCCTGCATTTTTATGTAACATTTTTAATTATGCATACGTACTAAAACTTTGAACTTCACTAAATGAATCAAACTCATCAATAATCTTAATGATAGTTTCATATTATTACAATATTACGTAAAAACTGGTTATAATTCCATAGAAAATATATGAATCAATTATAAAAAAATATTGTGCACGTAACAAACCTGGTAAATCCCAAGGATCAAAGCGATAAATGTTAAGAAACCCAATGATATCATGTTGCATTTTTCTCCCATTAACCATGTTCTTAAGGTAAAAATCCAAGAGTTCTTCTTCTGTAGGATGGAATCGAAAACCGGGTAATTCGAAATTTGGGGAAGTTTTATCATCCATGGCTTCTATATACTTTTATTCAAATGATATATTATTTTGTATATTGGTTAAGCTTTCCCTCTCTTTTTTTGTACAAGAAGTTATTTGAGAAAACTATGGTTAATGAAATAGAAGCATGAAAGTATAAGAGTATTTATAAGGAAAGAGATAATGATGGTACAAAATCTAATGTTTTTGTAGAATAAAAGAAATGATGGTAATGTTTTAATAAAGAGAGGCATGAACGAAAAGTCTAGGAAAGAGTGGACTTAAGTGGGGTCAATTGATAGCAACCATTGGACATTTGGACCCACACGGTATAGACTGACCCACTGAAGATGATAATATCACCTCTTAATTTGGTTAATCCCTTTATTCTTAGTGAGCCTTAAGCTATCAAACAAACTATTGTCAACTGATGAGTCTTGGTGCTTGACTAACGCTTTGATTTTTGGTTAGACTATTCTTTATACAAACAAAATGTGGAATTGTTTGTGTATTGTGATCATTTAGCTGCTTAGCGCAGTTTATGTTCATCTTAGCTGAATTGAAATGAACTGATTAAAACTGAACTGATCTGAATTGAACTGAAATTAAACTGAAGAGAACATGTCCTAGTGAAAGCACAAAAGTTAGATTTTGATGGATTTAAGTTAGTTTTAACTATGTACGGTTACTATAATTTACAATTATTTTCACTATATTTACAACAAAGAAATGTCCTTGCAAATGGTTGAAATTTTCCGGGTAAGTGCATGTTTATATGAGTTATATCCTTTTCTAGTATCTTGGTGCATTGGTAATATTAGTACTACTACGAGTACTAATTCAAAGAAATGAAGTCAATTTCAAGCTTCAACCACAAAAAATTGTTAACGGTCCAAAATCTAGATTAAAATGGTGGATTATTACCTCATATATCAAATGTTTACCAAGTCTTATTTTGATGTCGCTTTCGTCTAGTCCATTAATAGTATACGGAAAACAACAATTGCTGATGGCCAAATGTAATTTTTGTACAACCATGAATATGATGGCTGTCCAAATTCATTATATTCTTCAAATATTATTATTAGAATTAAACCTTTATTTTTTATCAAAAAAATAAAAAATAAATTAAAAAAACATTAAACGTGTATTAAGCACCAAAGTACCAAATACTGTGTTTATGATTAGTTTCACTTTATCAATATTAGTTTAAGTGTAAATTTAATAAACATTGTAAGTTATGATTACAAGTTTACGATTATATTATTGGGGTGGGAGTAGTCTTGTCTCTTGTGGTACTGTTTGGATGGCAAAAATATGACATTTGTTTCCCCTCAAGGATTACGGAATGCAATTCATACACTAGGAAAGTGCAAGGCATCCTTAATCAACACTTGGAACAAATAGGGGTAGAAGTGGGAATTTACTCTATATTTGAGAGATGGTCTTAAGTCCGAAGTCATGAAGATATTGAAGAATGGAAGAAGTATGAGAATTCTAAGGAATGTACAATTTTAAGTATAATTAAATTGATAAGAAAGAAAAATGACTTGTAAACATTTATTTTACTAGACTTGCTTTATTTTTTCTTGTTTGAAAACATCTCAAATCAAGAAAGAAAACTATTAGCTAGGTTACACACTTATGACTTGTTCTGATTTATTGAAAACAACTTAATTGAACTGGTTGGAGATGAAATGAATTGAACTGAAATGAATTGTTTATGAGAGAAGAAATTTAAGAACTAAACTAATTTGAATTGAGTTGAAATGAAACAAAATGAAATTAAGCGGGATAAAACAAGCCCTTATACATACTAGAAACTAGAAGTAGAAATGAAAACTCTGACTATTATTGGCCATGTCATGTGCCTTGTGGATTTATGTACCTGTTATGTTAGCAATCTATCTTGATAACAGTGTATGCACAAATTATGTAGGATATCTTCAAGTACAAAACAAGTGAGATTGTGTTTTCAATAAGGGTAATGTTATATGTAGTCCTAAGGGTTATGTATAACATTTTCCTTTCAATAATACTCATATAAGATTTGCTTCTTAAAATTTTGTGTATAGGAAACAAAAGAGATTTTTAATTAGAGATAAATTTTGATCAAATTAGGGTGGCTAATGCGCACGTCATATCTAGCTCTGTTTGTTTGATGAGATATTTTGCTTAAGTCACAAAGTTAGGGCTTGTTCTGATTGACTGGACTAAACTTATTGAAACTGAAATGAACTGAACTGAATATTTTATGAGAGAAAGAAATTAAAAACTGAATTAAACTTATTGGAGTTGAACTGAACAGAAAATATCTGAAGAGAACAGACCCTTAGTTGTTAGAAACATTAATGAAGGAAAATATCCAAACAAATATTATTAGGGGTATAAATATCTATATACACTATTCTGAATTCTGATGAGGTTAAAAAAATAGACAATTAACATCAATGAGGGAAAATAAGTAAAAAAAAAAAAGACATTTTAAAGAATATAATTATTCAAATACTATTTTTAAGAGTTATCTCATACTTTGAAAAGGTAAGAATTAATGAAAAGTGAAGATTCACTTGACCAATTCTATTAGTGATGTGGATTTAGAATAATATTGCAAATTAATTAATGGAGAGAATCAATAATTAAAAGAAAGAATAATGATATTTAGGATCCTTCCCAATAATCATCACCTCCAAAAACAGACTTTGAAAATAATGTTAAACAAATAACTTTAAGTTGACCTAAGTCTACCATCCATTGAAAAAACACTTGGGTTTCTTTGTATATTTGTAAAATGAGCTAAAACTAAAATACTACATATATTCCTTCACTCTTCCATAATTGATGGGAAAAATTAGAATAGTAATAGTTTTATGAAGATTTCAAAGCTTAATATTATCTAGACACTATTTATTTTTTCTTCAGATTTTTTTGATTGTTGAATTTATGCAAGGTTTGAAACATTCAACCAATTGATAATAATTGAACCATTACTTTTGTGTTTGCGGTTCAAGCCTTAAGGAGTCAAGGTCATTACTTCATGCATTGGTATGAATATATGATCATTTGTTATTTCTAATCACATATGAATTCAACGAGATTGCCTCATGCATTGTATGAATATATGATCATTTGTTATTTCTAATCACACTTATGAATTCAACGAGATTTCATTCTCTCTTACTTTGATTTGTGTGTAAACTCCTCTTATTACTATGGTCGTGTTTGGTAGTAGCGTTTGATGTAGCGGTTAGCGTTTTGACCAATCAAAACACTACTAGAATAAATTTGAGAGCGTTTGGCAAAGTAGTGATTCTAGTAGCGATTAGCGATAGAGGTAGCGTTTAGGTAGCTTTTTTCAAACGTTAAAAATAGTAGCATTTAGAAGTAGTGGGTAGTGTTTGGCAATTTTTTATTACTTTTTAAAGAATATTTATATGAATTTTGATATATTTTAGTTATTGCAATCGGTACTTTTACCAAACACTCATAACATTAACCGTTACTTTGACAGCTAACCTCTACTGATCACTACTAATTGACCGCTACCTGCTACCTTAACAGCTGCCCGCTACTCGACCGCTAAAAGCTACGTGTTACCGCTACCGCTACTTTTGCCAAACATGACCTATATCTAACTATCTAAGCACTCCATTAGTCACTTCTCAAAGAAATTGTACTTTATCTTCTTAAAATTTTCAATTTCATCTATTATATGTCTCTATTCCTAATTGAGATTTTTGATATGAGGTTTAGGTTTAAAATAAATAAAACCTGTAGTGTTTGTTCAAGAAGATTACAATTTTTTAAAGTACATGGTTTATAAATTCGAGGGGTGAGTATGCCTCATGCCATATCTTCAAGTATCAAAAAAATAAAATCATTCTCGAACAACAACCAAATATAGTGTATTAAAAATCAAGTTTCAACCTCATATCACTCTATTCTTATTCATTTATTCCAAATCAAGTCACTCTATGAAAGTATGAATAAAAACACTTCCTAATTTTTATTTGAACTTATTCTTCTAGAAATAAATGTATAAAAGTTAAACAAAACACGATCTTAGTTAGATAAGCATAGATTTCAAATCTATCTATCTAATCAATTAATCGTTAGATAAAGGCGGTAAATGACTTTTTGGTGGCTTTTTGGTTGGCTTTTGGCTTTTTTATGAGGTCAAACAGCCAAAAAATGTGTTTGGTAATTGGTTTTTTAGCCAGTGAAAAAGCTGGCTTTTAAGCCAAAATGAAAAACCTGCTTTGAGTAGCTTTTTTGTTGGCTTTTGGCTTGTTGGCCCACAAATTATCTAATAAACAGCCAACTACCAACAATTAATTTACCAAACACTTTTATAAACAGTCAGCTTTAACTGCCAATTTCAAAAGCCATTATAAACAGCCAAACATATCAGCTGGTCAAACAAGCCAAGTGAACCAACCAACAGCCAACCGCCAACAGCCACTTGCCAAACAAGGCCAAAGTTTTTTTCCTTTTTTTTTTTTTTGGCTTCTTCAATTAAATGCATGCATAATTTCATCACTTAAAAAAAGTATTCACAATATCAAAGTTATAATAGCAAAAGACGCGTTTTCTTTCAAGAATTGACTTGAAGTCATGCTTCTCATTCACTTATTTTTTAAAGTCAGAAATATAGCCTTCAGTCCACAAGAGTCCTTTTGAAACTTGACAAAATTGATCAAAGGAATGGTATATATCAATGTTTGTACCAAAAATAATTGGGTTGGAATTCAAAGGAAACCCTATAAATTGTACTTGAATGTGGTAATTAGTAATGTTACATTTTCCGGGAATCTTCTAATAAGGACAATCAATGGTAGAGGTTACTATCTGTACCTTGTATAATATAATTACTTGGACCAAGTCTATAAACCTTTATAAGAGAATAATTTAAGACTTTATAAACATTTACCGCAAGACTTTTATCGGTTTGTATCATTTTTTCTAATTCTCAAATTCAAAGTGGTGCACAGACAACCAACGTTGGACAAAGCTGTTATACAAAATGTACATGTTATATTTGTCAGTCTTGTGTAAAGTAGGAATGTTGATTAGAGGGAAAAAATACTACCAAGTACAAAATATATGAAGGATTTAGAAAAACCAATTGATTAGACTAGTGTTTTTTTTGGTATCAAGTGACTTGCATACAATACAATACAAAAAAA